TGTTGAAGTTTAATTAATAATCTGATAAACAATGTTACATAATGGAAATTAAAGTCGGAGAAAAAAGAAAGAGCAATAACATGTAGATGATGGAAGAGAAATGTCATCCAAAAAAAAAAAAAATCTTACTCCTCAAATTCATATGTACTTGCATATATATGCGTATATCTTTCTCACACAAGAAGCATTAACTCACTCTATCTGCTTTTTTCTTACAAATTTATAAATTTTAACAATAATATTTGCTATATTGTTTTTTCTTTTTTACAACCGCTGCAGTCTATTTTAGTTTAATATATATGAAAATAATTACACCATGTTTCTAAATTTGTACAATTGGTCGTCCTCTTGGACCTAAAATACATGCCTTCTCCAAAAATTGAAATCTCTTACAAATCCAACACGAGCCAAGCTCGACCTCTTGTTAATTTGGTTACTACATAGTACTATTTTTAATTAATATTCAAACGTGAAAGGTTTTTTTTTTTCATTTTTTATATAGTTTTATTCTAAATGAGAACATTAAATTTAGCTGAACTGAAAAAAAATATATAAAAAGGACTAAATAATTTAGGGTAAGAAAAAATATTCTATCAACATTTAAGGTTGTCTAACTTTTCTTCTTGTGGGAAATTACCATTTTGCTCGGTTGGATGAAAAGAAAAGTCATATACCTCACACTTATAGGGGACAAGAACTGCCAAGGGTACGTTTTCTTCATTTTGTTTTTCAATTATTAAAGTAAAAATGAGAAAAAAATGTTTGATGTATATATCTTCAATACCCCTCGAAACATGTAGATATATAATTACGAGAAATGCCACGAAGTGATTTTGAGGAACCCTCAAGTTTCTTTCAGTCGTTTCTCTCTCAATTTTTCTTTGACCCGAGCCAATATATGAATATACGTATCACTTATCATCATTATTTTATATAATAATCTATAAAAATTTAATTTCATAATTGGTGGTCACACACACCACCAAGAAGCCTATCAACATCTGTGTCGGCAAATAGTCACAAAATTAAACCTTTTTCTCTCCATTAAAACACATTTGTAACCATATATATTTATAACTTTACAAATTGATATAAATACAAATAAATGCGATTGAATCTTTTGTGTTGCACGTATATATCGAAACTCTGAAATGTACGTGAGACAAACTTAGTGGAAACTGGAAAAGAGGTCCATGGCGGAGTTGGTGGGTGAGGCTAACAAAGCCACGTCACTCTCTCCGACGTTCGTATTCAAGTTTCCCAATCTCTATTAGGGTTGATGTCATCCTCTTCGAATTAAAGAATCTCCATTCTCTTAAAAGGAAGAAAATTACTCAATTGGACAAGTTTTGTAGAATGCGTGTCAATAATATGTTACATTTTTTAGTGTAGCAAAAAAATAAAATATTGATGTAAGAAAAGCTAGATGGAAGATTGGGACTCTGATTTATGACCAGTGAAGAGGAAAAACAACCTCAAGTGGTTGAGTATTACAATGAATAATTTAAACAA